CTTCCCCCCCCCCCCGCCCGCTTTTATTTTGCAGGAGAGTTTAAAGCAAATCCCAGACGTCATGTTCTTTACCCTATAAAGTCTTCCATATGAATTTATAGCTGATACTTTCTCACCTATTAACTCATGTCATCACTATCCCTACCAAGATGAACAGCATCTCCTCAACATTGCCTAATGCCCAGTCCAATATTCAGATTTCCCTGATGTCTTAAAGATGTCTTTCTGCAGCTAGTTGTTTCAACTCAAGACGCAATCAAGGGCCATGCATTCCATCTGGTTGTGTCTCTTATTTTTTTTTTTTCTGCTGAGGAAGATTGGCCCTGAGCTAATATCTGTTGCCAATCTCCCTCTATTTTATATGTGGGACGCTGCCACAGCATGGCTTGATGAGTGGTGTATAGGTCACTGTCCGTGATCTGAACCTGCAAACCCTGGGCCGCCAAAGCAGAGTGCACCAACTTAACCACTATGCCACCAGGCCAGCCCTGAGTTGTGTGTCTTAAACTTCTCGTTCTCTACTAGCCTCTCTCCCATTCTCTCTTGCCATGGATTTCTGGGAGAAACCTGGTCATTTGTCTAATGGCACATCCAGCATTCTGCCTTGGCTGATGCTTCTTCCTGGCGTCTTTGAATTCACTCCTCTATGCCCCATATTTACTCTCGAGTGCAGTTAGAGCTGGGGGCTCCCTCCTGCTTCTCCGAGTCCCTTTCTTTCCCTGGCCTTCGGGACTCCAGGCTCTGCTGGTTTTCCTCCTTCCTCGCTGCTCCTCTTTCTCAGGCTCCCTTGGGGATTCCCCTCCCCATCTCCCTTGGAATTCTTACCTCCACTTGCTCCTCTAGAGGTCTTAGCCAGTCCCCTGCTTTAACCACCACCCAGATGCTGATGACTCCAAAGTTTACGTCTCCAACCTAACTTTCCGCTGCTCAACCCCTGTGTCCAGCCACCTGCCCAGCATCCCCACGAGGCATCTCAAACGTAACATGAGCAAAATAGACTTGGTATTTTCTCCAGACTTGTTTCTTCCAGCATCCTCTGCCTCGGTAAACCAGTTTACCCAGTTGTTCAGGCTGAGGAACTGGGAGTCATCCTTACTTCCTTGCTTTCTCTCAGACCCCACATCTAATCCATTGATGAATCCTCAGATGCTATTCTGAGTTTCTCTCTCCCTCTCCTCATTCACCGCCCTGTCCTTGTCCGACCTACTGTATTCGCTCCTGGATGCCTCCAACAGAGCCCCAGTGGGGTTTTCTGCTTCCACCTTGTCCCCACCCAGTAGCCAGAGTGATCGCTTCAAAACCTCAGGTGTTGCCCCCCTGCTCAGAATCTTCCAGGAGCTTCTCATATCACTGGAATAAACCCTGGAGTCCTAACCATGGCCTCCAAAGCCCGTCGCCCTCAGACCTCACCTCTTCCTCTCTTTCCCTCTCTCTGCTCCAGCCACCCTGTGCTCCCCGCTGATCCCGCCCCTGTGTTTGTTCCCTCAGGCCCTCCAGATCTGCCCGGCACCCCCTTTGTGCAGCTTCTGCTCCCTCCCTGGCTCATCCCCACAGAGCTTGTCTTGGACCGTCCCATCTCCAGTCACTCCTCCTCCCCTATCCTGCTTTATTTTTGCTTCAAAGCACTTACCCCTACCGGATATCCCATTCTATAAGTTTGCTTATTGCACTTTTTTTTTAAAGATTGGCACCTGAGCTAACAGTTGTTGCCAATCATCTTTTTTCTTTTCCTGCTTTTTCTCCCCAAATCCTCCCAGTACATAGTTGTATATTTTAGTTGTGGGTCCTTCTAGTTGTGGCACGTGGGATGCCGCCCTGGCATGGCCTGACAAGGGGTGCCATGTCCGCGCCCAGGATTCGAACCAGCGAAACCCTGGGCCACTGAAGCGGAGAGCGCGAACTTAACCACTCGGCCAGGGGCCGGCCCCTGCTTATTGCACTTTTAATCTTGCAATCGAAATGGGAAGGCTGACATGAAAGCCACTTTGGGCTCTGTGTTTGGAGGAGAGGGAAGAAGAAATTCTTCCAACCATTCCTGAAGGTGATGAGGTAGCCAGAAGGGACCCCTGAGGCCCAGTGCGCGTCTCTCCAGCCCAAACAGCAGTACTTAACGGTAAAGTAAGTTGACTGTCCCAGAAGTGGTGCCAGTGCTAGGTGTTAATCCCTTATAAACCGCAAGGCAGGTGTTCATTCGGGCCTAACCTTGGCTTACCTGGCGGGCACCTGACCTTTGAGCTCCCTGGAGCCAGGGAAGGGCGGAGAGCTTTCCCAGCTGTGGCTTTGCACTCACTCACGGGCTCCCTGGGGGACAGGCAGTGCGGGGTGCTGAGACCAGCTCCCCAACTCCAGGGCGTGAGGCTGGGCTCGTTTCCTTACCCCTGAGAGCATTGCTGGCTCCACGCTCCCTGCACACTGGAGTCACCTAGGGGCTTTTGTAAAACAGGGGTGCCCAGCCCCCGCCCCAGAAATTTTGGTGTGTTCGTGGATGGGGCCTGGACTTTGGGATTGTTGCCAATCTCGCAGGAGACTCACATTTGCAGCAGGGATGGAGGGCCCCAGCATCTGGGGCTTGAGAGATGCTGGGCTGCTGGTTGTCAAGGCTGGGGGACCGTCACGTGTTCAGAAAACAGCCTCTGTGGAGAAAGCCTGGAACCACCATCCCATAAGCCAGGTGCCCCGTGCCTCCCCGGGGTGTGCCACAGAGTGGACTTAGAAACATGGAGTCAGGCCAGTGTGGAGGTCCCTCAGGACAGCCCTGAGCTTCCTCCAGCATGACAGCTTTGGGAAGGTGGTGGGGAGCCAGCCCTGGAGGTGCCCATAGCCTCCAGGCAGAGCCTCCTAGAGCCCAGGGCCTTCCTGCTTCCTCCCAGCCCTGTGGAGCCCAGCACGGCTCTCATTCGGGTGCTCCAGTGCCCTCTTGGGCAGAG